TAGGGAAAGTGTACGTACAACATGTACATTCCATTAGAACCGGCTTTTTAATCTGGTAATGTCATTACCTTTTATTTTCCGCCTTATGGTATGCCCGTAGAAAATAACAAGTAACAGAAAAAAAGAAAAGATGAGGAAAGAAAAAAATATATAGAAAAATAAAGAAAGTTCCATGGAACATCGATAAGTCGAGAATTTAACTTTAACGAACTTTTATTGTCTCGCAAACCCCATTTCTTACCTCGTTATTCTTTCTTTTTTTTTCAAATTTAAAATTCCTCTTCTTTTTAAAAAAATTTAAATTAAAAATCTCGTTGAAAGTAGATCTCCCCACTCGATTAAAGAGGCAAATGCAATTTCCCGGTGTCCCCGTCGGGGGCTACAAATTTTCGAGATAGAGTCACGTGATAGGGAGACATTGTCAGGCCAGAAGAAGTTCGTTAGGATTTAAATCCTTCAAATGTCAGCGCTTCTTAGATGCGACGATTTTATACACCCTTTTTATTTCTCCTTTTATAGGGCTCCTACGGAATCGTAAAGCTTGTTTACAATGAGGAGGACGAGACCCACTATGCAATGAAGATTCTCAGCAAGAAGAAGCTGATGAAGAAGGCGGGAATCTTCGGTAGGATGGCCCCAGGGAAAAAGGGAGCGGCGAACCCTTTGGCCAAGGTCTACAGGGAGATCGCGTTGTTGAAGAAATTGGATCACCCGAACGTAGTAAAGCTGGTGGAAGTTCTCGACGACCCGGATGAAGATAACCTTTACCTTGTTTTCGAACTGGTCCAGAGGGGCGAGATCCTCCAGGTTCCTACTGATAAGCCTTTGGACGAAGAAACTGCTAGGAAGAACTTCCGTGACGTCGTAATGGGCGTGGAATATCGTAAGTTCTGAAATTTAGTACCTCGAATAAATTAATCTTTAATAAAACATGGTATAAAATCCGATATAAAACCCTTGTCGAATATTTCGAGTTAATTAGGTCGATATTTCTGATATAGAACCTTTACCGATTGTTTTAAAGTGATTAAACACGCGAAAAATTCATAAAAATTCGTTTAATGTGATCTAAATACGCGAGGGATACAGCTAGAGCGAGACGTGTACGCTACTACTGCCGTTCCTCCGCTCCTCGCGGTCCCGTTCTACTGATCTGTTCCCCCACTCCGCGCGGTCCCCGTTCTACTGGCTCCTCCCCACTCCGCGCGGCCTTGTAGTGGCGTGGCGAAAGTGAGGTGGGAGTTCCGCGCGGCTCGTAGTGGGGGAAGCGAACTCGGCTTGCGTATTCCTCGCTCCAGGCTATAGACTCAGCACTGTAGTAGGCGTTGCAGATCCGAAACTTCGCACGCTAGCAGAACTCGTTGAACTGTAATACGCGAGAAGTTTTATATATTATCTAGATAATCCAACTTATTTCTCCGCGCCTGTCGCGCAGATTTTTCAATCACGTTTCAGTCGAATATCTTCCATGCTAAATTACGAGTTTAATATTCGATTATTCGACAATCTATTTCGCCGTGATGTAGTTACATTTTGCGCGACTGTTTCGCCAAGTTCAATGATTCATGTTTTTGTTCTTCATTGTTCTTGTTCAGTGCACTACCAAAGGATAGTTCATCGGGACATAAAACCGAGCAACCTGTTGGTAGACAGCGACGGTCGCATCAAGATCGCGGATCTAGGCGTGAGCGCGGAACTCAGAGCATCCGGGGAGCTGCTGTCTGGACCAGCCGGCACCCCGGCATTCGCGGCACCCGAAACAACCACGCCTGGCGCCCATTATTCCGGAACGGTAAGTACCATCGCTGTGCGAGGCTATCATCTGATCGATTTTCAATTTCACCCATATTTATAGGCAGCGAGGAATTATGACGCCGCCTCTGTTCAATCGTATCGATATCCTTGGGTAACCATTGTTCATCCTGAATTTCTCCATGCCAATTGTGAACGTAATGGAGGACATCTATTACCAGTGTCGTTTAACAAATGAAAACCGTGGAAAGGGGGTGATAAATTACGTTTTCTCAGTCTCCAATACGGGTGGAATTTTTTTTTAATTCGTTATTTCGTTTATTAATCCCATTTTAGTAGTACTACTATAATTCTTTTTCTCTTCTTCTTGTGATCGGATTTAATACCTGTGTTGGCTTAAAAGAGAAATTAACGAAGAAAATTTTTGGGATTTTCTGTTTCGCTTATTGCAAATTAACGACAATGCATAGTTTATTTTTGACTTACTTTTTGTTACTCAAGGAAAGAGTATCGTTTCGATAGATGGACAAATTAGTGTTGACAATTTTTGGATCTTTGTAGGAAAATGTAGAAATACAATTTCTCACAAAATTTTGTGGATTCGTTGCATAATGTTTAATCAAGTTTGTGTATCTTTTGGTAGAAGTTCTTGGAGATTTGCAAGAGTGACGTGTCTTTCCAGGAAGCCATCTTGTCGTAATAGGTTAGTTGAATATTCAAAATGGCGTGCATAATTAACACACCCAGCGCCAGTTGTAGTTCAACTGACTTTCCATTCGCATTAACCTAATAGGCTGGTCCACATGACTTAAACAAGTCGTAGCTGTTCTCTGACTAGAGTTAGATGGTGTTACACGTGAAATAAAATCTAACTCCTTGAAACTAAATTTGCATAATAATTTTCGACGCAAATACATATACACGCAACCATAAGTATGAAATATATATTGTATTACTCGTTTTAAAGCACACACAGTACTTACCCCGTCAGGAGATGAAAGAAAATTTATTCAAAATTCACTGTCACGTTAAATTTCTCGATTTTAAATAAAAACACGATTTAAATAAATAAATCAATCTCGATAATTTATTAGAAATGTAGCAAGTTATTGTCATCTTACTTCAACTCGTGAGAAATGTTGACAATTTCTTCATCACCGTTTAACGTGTCCTAGGTACAGGAAGAGCAGTCAAGCTCTAACCCAATTGTCCAAGCGGGAATGTTTCTTTGCACTTCAAGTTCACCTGCATATTTCACGAGCCTCTAAGAAATCGATGTCACTTGGCGAGCAGCGCGACCTGTTTCACGAGTTTCCGGCCGTGTTTCGTTCTTTCCACGTGCGTGGCCACGTTAAACGTACCCTGAAACTTTTTGATAAGAAAGTTGGCTCGGGCCGCCATTTTCTCCTGATCGACCATGACACGTCCAACTTAACGACTGCGAAATCGAATATTCAAGTTTCTTTTACGCTGAATCGTTTAAGTCTACCTTGGACTTTAATTTTCACCACGTTGTTTAATTTTAATCGCAGGTAAACGTGAATTAGGTGGAAAAAATTTATAATTTTGGTTCCTGAAATATTTCGAAGAGTCATTGACCCTTAATTTTTGGGGTTGTTTTCATCGTTACAGTATGGACGATTGACAATGAGAAATAGTACGCGTGAAATATTGTTTTGAGAACTTCCTCTCGTATAAGTTTCATAGGAACAGGTTTTAGGTTAGGTTCGGCTACCGGTTAGACGCAGATGGCGCTGTGGTCGATATTAATGGCGCATATTGATAACATCGTGCGATTTTTTGTGGTAAGAAGGTATGAAAAATAATTCTCACGTGGCAATCGTTACACAGTAGCGAATCTTTTATATACAGGGTGGCGCTCTTGAATGGGAACACCTAAGTATCTTCCTTATTTATGACGCTACGAAAAAACTTTCGGAAACTAAGTTGCACAGTTTTAAGAGGGAAATATGATGCATGGGGAAAAATTTCAGTAAAAATTAACCAATCATAGCTTGATAACGTTAAGACGCCTTAATGAAATTAATTAAATGAGATTGGACGATGATAACAGTATATTTTATAAGCTCGTTGGATTTGTTTCTTTATAACCTACAAGGATATCGGGAAAAAATTATAGGGTGTCGTTTAAAAAAGTATCGATGATCTCAAATTCTCATAAACAAATACCCTTGGGGAGATATCAATGATACCATCATATTTCATCCTTTAAACAGTGCAACTTTGTCCCTAAGAGTTTTTCCATAGCATCACAGATAAGGGAGATATTTAAAATGCTCCATCTTATATGTATATACATAATCTAATCGTTATAAATATTTATTTTATTAAAAAAGAAATCATGATTCGTAATATTTTTTAAATTTATTCCTTTCCTGTCGGCTTTGGGTAATAGGGAAGCAAAGAAATTAATAGGTAGAATTAATTCTGAGCTGGTTAATATTTAATTTAGGTTCCATTGACTTCCAGACTCAGGTCTGCGAACCTAAGCAAGCTTAACCTCTTCGAATCTCGTTAATAACCCATAATCAAGCTCATTTACAGCGAAGTGGGCGTGTTTCCATTGATTAAGTGGTAATCTCCCGCTGGAATCAGAACGATGGTAATACAGGGAAACGATACACACACTAACTCCGATCGTTGATGTGTAGTAACAGCATGTAAAGTTCACGTAGCAGTAAAAATTAACTCTTCGTAAACAGATTCCGTATTGCTGTAGGAAAAAATTTCAGTATTGCAGGAAAAGATAATTCATCGTTTTTATCATCGTTGTAGATCTCTCTTTTATTTAATTTTATCTTTTTTCATTTTATATTTCAATTTATTTCAAGAATTTTTTGTCTCTTTATTTTCTTCTTCTGATTCATAATATGAGGATCAAAGAATAGAGAGTTTGTCAAGTAACAAAATAATCCCTCGAATAATTAAAAAATAATTAACAATTACAAGGAACAATTCTATAATTCATATTGGCTTTTAAAGATTAATTTTTATATCGTGTATTTTTATTAGCTTTTAATAGGCGTGGTCCCATTGCTCCTAGTTACTATTAAATAATTTTTCTTATTATTAAATTTTCATGCAAATTATTTGGAATGTTTCAAATAATTTAAAACATCTATATCTTAATATTAAAAACTCGAAATCAGAATAAATTTTGCATTGTGTATTTTTGTTGGATCAGATTGTCTGAATATTACACTGCCTGAAGGATTTTTAGCAATAGGCTTGGTCCCATAGCTCTTCGTTACTATTGCTATTAAATTTCATTGCGAATCGTTTCAGCTGTTTGAAATAATTTGAAATACAGTAATATCGAATACTGAGGATCGTGTTTGAATGAAATCCACATTTTATCTCTCTGTATTAAATTTATTGCACTCATGGGGCAATCGAAGTGTCGATAGCAGTTGCAGCAGTTGCTGATTGATGGAACTGATTTCTGCAATACCCGTTCGCAACTGATTCTTTAGTATACAGCCCTGAGCAGTGAAATCTTCTCTGGTTAAATCCTAGATGAAATTATTTCTATCCTGATATATCACTCTGTGGGATGAGATGTTCCATTATGTCACAAGAATGTCTATTAAGTGGTGACCATTATTTTCATAGCACTAGTGATAACGTGACGAATTCGTTCCCTATCGATAATGCTGACTCGGAATCAAATCGACTCCGTATCTTTAGCAGTGATACGACGTCAATTCGACTTATCCGAACAGGCCGAAATAGGACCTGCTACTAGGTAGCCTTACTGACGAGTCCACTAGCAGGCCCAGGACGAAACACATCCCTTCCTGTTCCAACCTTTATTTTAAGGTTCAACAAGGACAGAATCCTAGGTCCTAGGATTCCTAGGATCCTCCTTGACTAGGTCCTCCTTGATAATACTGGATAATATATTTGTAGGAGTTCCATCCTCACGGTCGTTGAAGTCAGCTGGTCGCAGATATCTCTGGTGTAGTATGGAGCTAGAAGGGATGAAAGGAAAAGGAAGGGATGCGTTTCGTCCCGGGCCTGCTAGTGGACTCATCAGTAAGGCTACCTAGCAGGCCCAGGACCAAACTTTTTGCAAGTGCACTTTTCACTTCCGAAATATAAAATTTCCAAACTTTCCACTAATATCTTCATCTAAGGCACGTAGTGGTGCTGCTAGAAGAGAGGAAAGGAAAAGGAAGGGATGCGTTTCGTCTCAGGTCTGCTAGTGAACTCATCAGTAAGAGTACCCAGCAGGCCTAGGACCAAACTTTTTGCAAGTGTACCTTTCACTTACGAATTATAAAATTTCCAAACTTTCCACTAATATCTTCATCTAAGGCACGTAGTGGTGCTGCTAGAAGAGAGGAAAGGAAAAGGAAGGGATGCGTTTCGTCTCAGGTCTGCTAGTGAACTCATCAGTAAGAGTACCCAGCAGGCCTAGGACCAAACTTTTTGCAAGTGTACCTTTCACTTACGAATTATAAAATTTCCAAACTTTCCAATAATATCCCCCTTTAAGGCACGTAGCGGTGATGCTAGAAGAGAGGAAAGGAAAAGGAAGGGATGCGTTTCGTCGCATTGTCACACTTCTCTCTCTCGTTCTCTAATTAAATTGCAAAATCCTGGGACCGTGATTTCCAACGTGACGAGTAAGAAAGTGTCGGAGTATCCTTGCACAGGGACGTATATACCTCTGTTGTTACTTGACTTAAGCAGTACGTCGGGATTAACACTCGCAAGGCGTTATTATACCCTCTGTCAGGCAGATGGTCGAAGAAACGTGTAATTTAGCGTGGAATAACGTAATTTCGCTTCTTTCATGTGTATTTCCATGATTACAGCCGAGGCTTATCGCGTGACCTTATCGACGTCGCGATCGATTTCGCGTGTCCCACAGGATAGTTAGGCAGAGCACCGTGTCCACGAGAACGGCACATTAGTCAATTCGTGGACTGCTCGAGAACTGTAATTACCAATCACTGATACTCTCATGACGTGGATCGTGAAAATATGATAGAGGGCTAGAACATTTCGCCATTAGGCTCGTTTCACACCGATCGGGCCTGGAATAATCCATAGTGAAACTTTTATCCGTGATCAGTCTTCGCAGACTTCATTTTCCACCACGTATGCACAACCATAAATTTTTATTATACGATTAACGCTAGAACCACCAACCCAGTCAAAATGACTGGTCTCAGAATTTTCCTTTTTGCAATCACCGAACACATACATACTGCTTTAAGAATAAAATTGGTATCAACTCATAGAGTTGAAAGAACTGTAATCAATATATTCACTCATATTCATCGTACCGCTCAAATTACTATAATCTGTGCACGTTTTAGTTAGGTACCCATATTAAAGATCGGTGGTTCTAGTGTTAAGTATATTTTTGTTATATCATTAAGACAAAAATCATTTTCAGCATCATTGTATTTGGGAATAAAGAATTTAGGTTTATAATGGAGGAAGGACGAATTGACCTTGAGATAGCCTTGATAATACGTTAAGAAAAAGGTTAGACAATTATTATAATAATATTATTATACTTGAATTCTTTAAAATCATAAGATGTCATCTGATGATCACACTCATCTCTGTCACTTTTCTTCGTTTTAATTAGTTATCTGCTAGACATTTCGTTCTGCCAATTTAAATTGGACACCATGTATACGACGTATTCTATTAAACGATTTTTAAAATAATTTTGATGATTGTCTTCATTCGATTAATAAAATATTATAAATATAAATAAAATATTTTGACTTAATTTTCAATTTGATTTAAGGATTCGCTTCACCTTTATCATAGGTCACGAACTCTGCAGTGTTCAGAAGGTGACACGTGAAAGGAATGTGGGTCCCGTTGGTTACATCCCGATGAATCTTCATTTGCTGAACAATGACAGAAAAAATAGGGCACACGTACTTTCCTGGTTGTATTTCCAAAATGTCAGCGTGTGTCAAGGTCAGTGTGTATATAAAGGCTTAGAGAGGAAATTTCAAAGGAAGAGCAGAACTTACCTCCATGCCATTTCACGTGTCATTTAAACGAAACATAGTACACACGGTCATATGCAGAATTATGCGAAATAATCGACTCGAATATTCCATATTTATTGAACGAGGAAAGGAGATGACGAAATTATCGTATCTTCTTGCAGGAGAAATTACATCTCGTGTCCTTTGAACTCCTGCCTGCATCTTGCTATGTCCCCATCGATCTTCTGTAATCCTCTAAGAGTATTCTCTTCTATTGAACTCGCTTTTCGCGATATTTGCGTTATTGGATTAAAATGGAACACGCTGTGCATAACAACAAGTGTCTTGAACATCCAGCATCAATTTTCATTATTAACTCGCATACAGCGCAGCACCAGCAATACCCCCAGTAAATATAAAGTACCCCCAGTGGTTCATGACTATGGTACCTTCTCTTCGAAAAATAATAGAACAAACAGAGGTGTATGAAAGGAAATAGATTTTGAAAATTTATATATACTTTACTACTATACTGGTCTTATTAAAATTAACTTATTGTGAATCAAATCGTATTTTGAACTTTACCTTTATCGACACATAATGAAGATCATACTTCGAAATGGTGTTCAAAGTTTGGCTCTATTATTATATTAATTATAAAGTTAATCTCGTGGGGAATTTGGCAGAGACGAGACGTGTGAAAAATATTAACCCTTTGCACTCGACGACTTTTTCGTTACAGAAAAATAATAATTCGAAGACTTTCTGTCTCAGAGTCGACGATATTTTTAAAATGGTAAATGAGAAATCATATGCAAATTAAGACGTATAATTATTTTTCTTCGACATTCCACACATCGTTAGGTAATTGTAAATTTGATATATTAATTAACGTCGATCTTTAAAATCTGATTAAATGGTGACTGAGAGTCACCTCTCGAGTGCAAAGGGTTAAAGCAAACGGAGATGTATGATAAAATACAGATTTTTGAAATTTATACGTATTTTGCTAGTATATTCCATATAACAGCTATTAATACGGAGTCAATTTGACAAGTGAAGTCGCCACTGGTAACAGGAGTCAATTTGACACACGCTCTAAGGTTAACCATGTCGCGGAATGAGGAGAACACGAAGCCTTTGGATTAACCCTAAAATATTTCTCATGTTTCAGTTATGCGACGTATGGTCAATGGGAGTGACGCTCTACTGTTTAGTGACCGGAAGAATCCCCTGGGACGGCGCCGGAAGTATAATCGGCGTTCAGGCGGCAGTTCGCAGTGAACCATTAAAATTTCCGGAAAAACCAGCCCTCTCCGAGGATCTCTGCAATCTGATCTCGAGAATGCTGGCCAAGGACCCAGCAGACAGAATCACGCTGTCGGAGATCAAGGAACACATCTGGCTGACCAGTCGTGGTGCTGAACCACTGCCAAGCGAGGTTGACAACTGCCGACTTCCGGTAACTGTGACGGATGAGGAGGTGGAACGAGTGGTCACGAGGATACCCAAATTGGACACGCTGATTCTCATCAAAACCATGCTCAAACAGCACAGTTTTCAGGTAAGTGGATTTCGACGTTTCAAATTTGGCGCCAAATATGGCGGCGCTTCTTATCGGCGGAAATTGGGAATCACGGTTCGAAGAAAATCGATCGATATTAATTAATATAGCCACGGAGAGAGTAGGTTAATTGGGAGAGCGATGTTTGAAAATTATTAAAAGAATTTTCGTATCGCTATATAATTCGACTTTCAATTTGATTTTTCGCCTAATCGGGGCACACCGCGCTTGTCTTTATTCAAACTTGGCTCGCAAATTGCGAACAGCAATTATCGGTATTCGATAAACCATGGATTAGTTCTAGCCTGTAGAGTGAAAACTACTATAGCACCAAGCCAACTTCCCCAGTATCACACTTTAATTAATAAATACAGCGACACGTTTGAAGTATTATGCCACTGATTTACTCCTTGACAATTCAATTACAGTGTACAGGTCGTGGTTTACGCGAACGCAAAGTCACACGAACGTATCCCGTTTTATCATATTATTTCAACGAGTGTGCCATCTAAATATCTCCGAGTTCATGCCGGTAAAGTCGGTAAAGTGGATTCCATATGATTGCCATATTTAATTTTTCGAGAAGCAATATATCTTTTATGAAGTCGCTTGAACTTTTTAACTCTTTTCTGTATAACAGTCACGAACTTTCGACCTATTTTGCTCACGATTGTGACTCCTAGAACTGCCACCAGGTGGCCAGAAATACGAACTTACTTCTACAGACGATTTAATTTTTATAAATCGATCATTTCAGAAGGTAAATCATCATTGATGTATTTTATTCGTTCTGAAACTATTATAAATTCAAAATTCTCAATTTTTTTTTTCCCTTTTTTTTTTTTTTTTTTTTTTTAATTTTAACATTCGAAGCATAGCAAAGACGCTTTCTCGTTTATTGCGAAAATTCTCCGTCTCCATTTTCGCAGCTAATCTCTTTCTCTCTGCCCCCCCCTCTCTCTCTCTCTCTCTCTCTGTCTCTCTCTCCTGTAATTTGGGGAATATAAAGACGCGATAGTTATTGCTTGGCTATCCCGCGTAATTGCATTTGTGGGAAATGGAGCCTTTGCATCCGCGCGAGACTGTTCGCCCTTTGGCGTGGCCGGCTGTACGTCGGGGCGATAAAAGCTGGAATAACGTAGGCATCAGCGATAAAGCGCAGCCAGCCGTAAAAATCCACTTGACTCCGCGCGATCCTCCGAGTGTCTCGCATTCACTGAATAAATCTCTTCGCGACTGGGAATGAAGCGATAAAAAGGAAATGGAAAAAATATCATTCGAACTCTATTAAAACGTTTGAAAATAAACTTGCTGCAACGGGACAACAGGGTTTTGTAAAAAGGTGAATATTAGAAATAACAAAAACGATATACCTCTCAATGAACACTAATTATAATTAAATAATCATACAAATTGCACTCTCAGTCTGCAGAATTCTTTACCTCCAGCTACCTTTCGATATGGCTAACCTCCCTTGTTTCCTTATTTCGTTCTGTTCTCTCTGCTTGCCGGTAGAGCGCTCTGGAGAGTGGGGCACGGTGGGGGTAGCGGTGACGCGCTGTAGCGGGGCTGCGCGGTGGGGATAACGGTGACGCGGTGGGGATAACGGTGGCGCGGCGACCTTAGACGAGCGAAAGCTCGATGCCAACTATAGGTTGAGTACACGCCGTCGATTAGACGATTCGACGATCTCGCTAGCTCGGGGAATGAGTTTCTTTCTTTATAGAGGTTTTTCATCGAGCGTCATAAAGTCGTTGAGAGCAGTTGGGTAGTCGTGGCGATAGAGAAGGGTCGGCCATTGAATTTCAATTGCGGCCGACATTTGATCCGCCATCCCGCGACGAGCAGCAGGAGGTCAAACCTCTCTATTCCTCTGTTTATGACGCGCCACTCGTCGTGAGAGCTCCTGCAGCGTGGAAGAGCTGCCTCCTGCTCTCACCGCGGCGCCACGTCTCCGTCCTTATTATTTCATGAGCGGCCAGTCGATATCAGCCGAGTTCAAGGAAGGTTGACGGCTCCGTAAACATGGCAATAACTCCGGTCGAGTGTTGGTGTCATAAAGCTTCGCGCTCTTTTCTTCTCTCACTCCTCTCTTCCTTTCCCTTTTCTTTCTCTGTTCTCATCCAGGGTTCGGCAGGCACGGTTCCGCGAAAGTAGGGCAAAGATTCCTCGAGATTCGCGAGATCGGGGCTTTGAAATCGTATAATTGGCTCTCTGACAACCCCCATTAGTGATGCTATGAGAAATCGAACGTTAGGAAGATTATTTGAATTTTATATTTTTTTGTTTTTCTTTCGTTTTTATTCCATTTCCTCGTTTCATATGAAATGTGCGATTAAATGGTAAAATCGTTTATTAACTTGCAGAATCCTTTCCTATCGAAGAAGAGTGGTAAATTGGCGGGTACTGACACGACAGTCGATAGTATAGAGTTATCCCCGTCGGGGAGAAACGAGGATGTGACGCCTGGAAGAAAAGCAATCAGAAACGCTAAGACAGAACGATTCCAGAGAACCGGCAGGAGTAATTCCGCACCTGACTCTTACGATTGGCAAACAAACGGCAGGTAAACACACCGAATTCGTTAATTTTTTGCGGTTGTTTCCGATCTATGCATTTCTTGTTCGATGGCCGATTGTTTTACCGACCGATGTCGGTATAGACGGAATTTTAAGATAACCGAAATAACTTTGCCTTCTTGTGTCTGTATTGAAACACTTTCAGGCAAATATCCATAGACAGTCCTCTGCCTCCAGTGACAGAAGCCTCCTGTCAAGAAATCGATATCGAGAAACGATAATGCCATTAAGAATCTCGGATCAACACGTCGAAGGGAACTACGATCAACTATCGGTTGGTAAACACGGTATGAGCCGACTTAATATTAAATGCTCCAGTGAAAATAACGAATCGTTGAGTATTCGCAAAAATTCATACGTTTCTTGCAAGTTGCAGCACTTCTTCAACAGTTTGAACAATGAAAAGATACTTTAATTGATTACGTTTTTTTCGATATTCATTTTTGAAACATATACCAGAAGCACCGATTTACGTGGATATTTTCAAGTGGAAAAGATGGTCACGTGGCCACAGCCAACTGTAGAAATTTTCGAACAGTTACGAAACAGTCGCTTTTCGCACAGTTGTATCGTTCGTCCCGAATGTACAGCATAATTTTCGAAAATAATTTTTCACTCACATGTCGAGACCAATTATACCATGGTGCGAGTTGACACGACCAGATTGCAAGTGGCGCCACCACCTGCGAGGCCGTTTTAAACTTGTCAGATGATACTTCCTCGATTTCTGAAACTTGAAAGTAACGAGTTTACAGATAACTCGTTGAACAGTCTGCGATCAGCTGAGGGGGAGATAAGCTGAAGTTAATTTAAGGAAACGCTGTAAAACTGTCAGCATAGACTGTCGAAATGATAAGAATAAGAAGAACAGATTAGACTATTCTCGGCTGAGCCGACTTCTCAGATACAATTATAAGAAGTAACTTAACCTATACCTTAAAGGTAACTAGATATATAAAAATATTTTTAATTGTCTCGTTGTCGGTTAACCTCTTCAGATAGCGTCTATTTTCATCCCCAGACAAATATAATCTTCCTTAGTATTTCCATTTGATTCAATAATCTATAAACAGCAATAGTGAAACACCAATTTTCTTCTTTTCTTAATTTTAATTAAAAATTTGAGAGATACCTCAAACGTTCAATTTATGCAATGAACGTGGTGCTTAATTCTAGTTTCCCAAGTTTTTATTGATACTACTAGGGTATTTCGATAACTAAGACTACTATTACAGTAAGATCTAGTAACTAATTTATTTTAACAAGTCTATTTACATAGTACAAGATGTAGATATTTCTAGAATGTCACTATACGTCTTTATAACGAACATTTTCTTTAATATAAAATAAAATAAAGGATTTAATCGTAAATATAAGGGATTTCCAAAGTAGAATTAAAATTCTCATACGAACTTTCCGTCTGAATAGAAGAGCCGTTGCGAGAATTTGGTCTGAGGAGGTTAACTCGACACATGGTAACTAGATGGCGTTTTACTTACGAATTTTAACTAACAATAAGTAGCAGTAGGTAAAGGGCGAACGTTGCGAGTCGAGTGCTGAAAGAATTAGCCGTATTTTCTATCCAAGCTAGGAAGTAAGAGGCTTGAAAGAACAGCCTGTTGAGACAACGACATCGTTTGTAGGCATTACCATGAGAACGAAACATTGTTTCTCGGTGAGTTTTATATTTCGTTCCTTCTGTGATGTAATCGTGCACATTTTCGTACTTCTACGTGATTTGAGTGATTCGAGAAACGTTTTCGTATCACTGAGCACTCGGGAAAATTATCCTCGATTCTATATCCGTTCTAACCTCAATTTGTTACTAGAATAAAAATCGAGAAAGTTCCTTTACAAATTGCTATTTAAGTTCCGACATAAGTGCTTTACTTTTGTGTATATATTCTGGAAGAATTCCACATAGGATCTAACAAAGATGATCGTGCGATTTGAACGAGTGTTACAGCAAGTTGACGTACCGGGTGTGCCCGAAGTAACAACGCTGTTGACGGTGAGACTTAAATTTATCGAGATTTCTTAAGATACGAATATTAAGTGTTTAATCATAGCTGACAGATCGCAAAATCGTCTTTCTTAGACCCAATGAAACGAAGCCACCGACAAAGTATGGTGGCCTGTAAATACAATGGAACTTAAGTCTTGCAAATAGTGCGAAGCACGCGACCAAGCGAACGCAACCAAAGTCAGATTCGTGATTTCGTTGGACCTTACTGATATCCGGGGGACCACAAGCGCGTATTTGAATTTAATCGATAACCGTCAAACCTCACGACCGGATTCTTTCGATGATCATATCACGTCCCGACCTCACGAATTTTCTCGAAACGACATGATTTACAAATATGCCCCTGTGGCAGGCAAATATCCGTTCTCCGGTGTTATTAACGTTTACTAGCGATTAAAGTAGCTGTAAGGGCAAAAAAAATGACGTCACTAGATTGTCTACCGATGGTTCGTTGATAAAACTTCGAAGGAACTTGTAATGCGGTATATTTCTTTATAAATAGAGAAGAAAGTAATCTAGTGAATGAGTGTGGTTACTTAAAATTGTAAAATATTTGCTCCGATGGTACTGGTTAGCGTACGGAATGTTTTATAATTGTGATACAAGATGGGAGTCGAATCCCTCGTGCTGAAAGTGCCAGTATTCGAACGACAGATGGCGCTGCAATCGCACTGAGATCTCATAAGACGTCTGGTGCATCGGTAGGCCCTCTTCGTCTAATTCTTACGGGTATGTGTATCATAAAAAGACTAGAATCTTTTACATTTACGATATTTCTGGTGGTATGTAATATTTCGAGCTGAAGAATTTAATCCAACTTTACTCTAAACCATTTGCTTTCTATATACCAAAGCTTACGCTTTCTTTCATCTTAATTCTCCTCTAAGAAAATTTTGAAATTTTACTACGAATCTTATAATAACCTAAAAGTGAAAAAAAGGAAGAAAAAAAAAATACAAAAAATATTTTATCGCTCCCCTTCTCGAGCTTAAGGGACTTCCTAGCTTTTAACGATTTATAAAATTTAAGAATATTACGAGTAAGAGTATTTACAAATTTTCCATCAGTCTCGAATAAAAATATTACGTATTCCCAGAAATATTTTTTGGAACCTTCGTCGATAAAAGCTTTCGAAATGTTCTTCAACGACTCAGGTTTTGCAGACGCTTTTATCCACGACGGTACACTGTCGTATATTATAATAGATGTATCTCACACATTACGAATATTCTTAAAAAATGCACAAGATATTTTGTACCTCGTATTAGATGCGCACTATGTTTCTTAATCTACTTGTGACAAAGTAAACCGAGTCGCGTTTACATAGAATTGACCCTTAATTGATAACCAATCTCATTTGATAAACTAAATTCATAGACAAAAATGATAAAAGCTCGTGAATAATTCACTTCGTTGGAAATAAATATGACAACTATAATTGTTAACTTAAGTCGGTAAATCTTAAAATACGTTTTGTAATTGGAAGTGAAATCTATTCTGAATCGAAGTCATAAAATTTCCATTCAATCAAATAGATCGTTCTAAATTGGGTAATTGAGGGTCTGATTATCGACAGCTGATCGATAATCAACGCGAAGCGAAGCAAGAATCGATCGACGAAACCGCGAGAGGTCGTTGACTGGCGCTGTGACCAAATCCAAGATGGCGACTCGAGTGATCGAGTTTCGGTTGATATTTTTGATTAGTGCATTGATTTTCTCGACAATCAATCTCATAGGTGATTTTGGTCCGTTGTTTTAATAAACGAAGAGGAAAAGACAGTCGGTTGGTCGAAAGTGATAACATTTAGTCGTCTACTGCCATAATTTTGACCAGTGAAGACGAGCGAGGAGCGAAGTATGTACTTTATTGATATTTCACGCGTCTAGCCGATGTACTTGGTAAAGTGAACAGGTATTCATGAATCGTGTAACTCCTTTTTATATAATTCGTAGGCGAATTTACGATTTTTCCCCTTTTGCTCTTGGCTCGAATCTATCGTTGTTGTTTCCAATTCTGTAATTTTATTCGACTGTTGTAGTGTCCTTTTATCAATAATAACGATCTTTACAAGGTTAAAGTCCATTGTTTTAATGACCTTTAAGTCAATAAATGTAAAATAGGTTGTTATACTATAAATTTCATCCGTCTCGCCTTCATCACAGTATATGTATCTTTTTTACATGTTTGAATAATCAGTGATATTTTTAAATATTCAATGAAATTACGTTTCTTTACTTTTAATGGCTTCTTACCGTTTATTCACAATATTTTTGTTGGAAAATATGTACAATAATATTATTTTTCATCATATAACTTTTAAATTGAATGTAGCTAATGAGTTCAGCTATAGAACCTGTAGTTGACGTTACATTTTTCCCTAACCTCTTATATTATTAAAAACCTTTTTAGTATTGAATAAATTAACACTTGGCTGGTAATACCATTTGGATAGAATCTGCAGGGCTATATCTATGCTGTCACCTGTCAAAAAGAGAAACATTTCCAAAGTCAAGATTTAATTATTTCAGTTCCAATAACATAATAACAGGGAATTGTAAATTAAAAATTATTATATGAAGGCATTGTGAAAGGCAAATGAAGGTTACATGTAAAGTGTATATTAAGCCTCTTTATACCTGTTGTTTCTGTTGGATAAACTTTTCTAGAGACCGTAAACGGCTGTTCGACTTTTTGAAATATCTCCAAGTTGACATTTGTGATATTCATCTTTATTCCTGTAGCCACACTATTTACAAGGCTATCCAAGAAAAGAGCCCAGCGGGGTTTAAAGTAATCCGCGACAACTCCAGACCATTGTTTGTTGGCATAGTCCCTTATCTCACCACTGGGTCCCCATAGAGTAATCTGGTTTCTCGCGTTGTACTCATACAATTTCATTTCCGCCTCGTCAGTAGCCATATTTTTTGCCATTTCTAGCCAGGTTCCCAATAGGAAGTTTTTACCGGATGCTAAGATGTTCTCAAGGTCAGTAAACACTTTCAACAGTTGAATAGCCTGAAATCTATACAATAAATTGTAATTCAAAATTTTAAACATTGTTATTATCAATATTGGAATTATATATGTGTAGTTTATATGTAATTCTTTGAGATATTTAATGAATTGTTGGCAATAGTAAGAAATGTAATATCAAATATCGGAATTGCTTGCCAATTTATTACCTACTTTAGGAAATGGAAATCTCCTCTATTATCTACTATCGATAATAGAACTTTTCATGTATCATATAGTATAAAATGATCTGCAGGCAATTGATTTCTGTAAAATGATTCAACTAGAACTCACTTAACCCTAATGGCGTTCTTCTTATCATATGCTTCCATCAAGTCAGTGTAAATTTCGTCCGCTTTCAGCTGCAGAGCTTGTCTAGTTATGTCTACCACATCGTGACGATAGAGGGTGCTGTTTTGCCTTCCGTGTCTCGCTTGTAGGAACACGTACCAGGTGTGATAAAATGTTTCTGGATCATACCAAGTCTGCGAAACAACCAAACATATTTAACAAATAATTATACAGTAATTTAAAAGACACTCGAATCATGAATTTTTTATTTTTATACTAAATTTTTTAAAAGGCCTGATCCATTTCTATTCGATTAAAAAAAGTATTCATTTTCCAGTCAAAATTGTATGGAACATCGACAATTTTTGGGACTGCAGTTCTTTGTCACTATTACTATTACTGCAATTTTCAAACCATGCAAAGGAAAATTGGAAACAAGACTTCAAAGAGATGCGATGATGAACTGAGCTTACCCATGGCACGAGACCTAAGCTCGGTCGTCTAGTAATTACATATTTCCCTCTAATTTTCCGGGTGCTTGAGAAACTATACACCGTCCTACCCAGGCTCTTCCATGCTTCAACAGCGTACTCGTTCCATGCGCCGTATCTTCGACTACTATAGTCCTCGAACCTAGAACAATTCTTGAAAATGTAATTTTGTACTCAATTATCTTTTATGGGAAAATAATGGATATTTAATCTGACCATTTATCCAAGTTGACAGGTTCCTGTCGATAAGCCATCTCGTTCATCAACTCGTAGATAACGTAGTTTTGGTTTATGCCTTCCGGTGTTAAGCCTGTCCCCACCATTGTAGAGTTTTTCATGTTCCTTGCTTCGAAAACTTGCTGAAAGAGATCAGTTGTGGTTGTCAAATAGCAAAACGTGTTGACAGTGATTATTTTCTAACGTCACTTTAGTGAACAATTAGAATCTTGGGGTTGGAATGTTATTAAACATGTCGAGGTTATGTAAGGTTTTGCAGATGGCGCCACTGTTTAGAACATGGCGCGTGTAGATCACTGCTAGACACACATGCAACGATGATCCTACTTTTTCCTTTTACTACGAATACGTTCTTGAAAAAGACTTACTCGATTGATAATTGGAGCAGAGCCAAACATTCCAAGTGTACCACCGAAGTTGTGCAACATGCACCAAATGAATGGTTGACCATAGTACGACTTCAGTCTAACATATTGCGGGAATTGTTCTGATTGCAAGTCCAGTACTATCATTCTTCCCTAAATGAAGGCAGGGAAAGCATGAAAATAAATATTTTGTGAATTTTGAGTAGACTGGATGAAATAATTATTGTTCAAACATGTTTACCAATGGGACAGAGGTTAAGAAAGCTTCGATTCTGCCCTCGTTCCAGAAGGAAGCTTCATGAACGAACATCCATCCTTGCATTAACCTGGAAAGATAACCTCACTTTTGTGAATCAAAGACCAATCTCAATTTTCATTATAAATTTCTTGCTCGCACCATGTGCAAGCTAGACTAAATTATCGATTCGTGGTACCATATCGCTTGAGGATCAACATCAGTCATAGCTTCGAAAATCGAGTGTCCTACGTTTGTCAAAAATTTGATTTCACTGGTATGGGGTTCGTTCTCGTTGAATGTGTCGCAATTGTAAATATGATCAGTCCCAAACTCTGCGATGTACTAAAAGAACAAGATCAAAGTCATAATCATATTCTTCTCGCTATTTTAAATCCTACCTACCGTTTTCAAAAATAATTGTCCTATTTTTCGGAACAGTGGATCCGTGGGATCCAAAAGATAGGGGCTGAAAAGAAATTCGTGTTTTCATTAACTACAAATGGTAATTGAAACGACCATCCTGATGGATACCATGACTGTTGCTAGGACTGTGGCATTCGTCGTTCATTTTTGATATGCAGATCGACTCAAAAATTAAGTTCTTAAGTGGAAATCTAAAGTCAAAGTCTTTTTGATAAATAATCCTGCCATTTATCTCTGAATAACAATAATAGATATAAATAATGACAACATCGTGAACAAAGAAGATTGAATCTGTGTTACAAATTAAAATGAGTATCAATAAATCTTATCAACAATTAATTAGCATTATCTTCATCCTAAGCCAAAAATTACCAAGCAAGTTTGCTATTCGTTGAGTTCTTTATAATCAGAATGATTTTCAATTCTTACCAACAATATTTATCTGAGAAATTGTTCCATGCCGTAACTTTGGTCACGTTGGCGTTCGGGAAGACCTTGGGGAAGGACCTGGGCACGTGACCTGCGAAAGCAGGCAAGACAGGGATGATCCCTAACTCCCTCATCCTCTGAAGGATCTGATGTTGCAGTCGAATCGAGTTTTCGTGCCAGCTTGGACTTAAAGGTCCGCCAAAGCCTCGAATGTTACCCATTCTGGACCTAGAAAATAATTATTAAAATTGGCGCTGCTGTGAAATCATTTCAAAAATAATGGTCATCGAACGAAGCTCGATTAACCTGTCCCTAGTATAATTTTGTAAAAACCAAATCTCACATGATCAACAAATAATTTGAAATTAATTCTGAAAAGAGTTAACAATTTTCTTATCTTTCTCAAATTTGGTTTTCTTTTGGTTGTCTTTTTTTTTGTAGACTTTGAAGCGTACATGGACAAAGAAATTACGTCATCCACGAGATATCAAAGATTAAGTATGTGACTTTGAACTTGAGAACAGATAAGCAAACAAAATGCAGTACAAGGTTCCAAAGATTATGTTGTTCCATAATATTTTATATAATATCTCACGATTACGTTACGATTTTTGTCCTAGAAAGCACGTGAACGTTACCAAGGTAAAAATGCTGGCCCGCTGAAGTGCTCGTTAATCTGGTCAGAAGAGAAGTTCAATTCCGAGTATACCCTTTGCCAGATAGCCTCTTGCCCGTTAAAAGCAAGTGCCAAATTGATTCCATTAAGGGCCATCCAGTCGATGTTCTTTTCCCAGTGATCCCACTCCCACCATGCGGAGGTGTAGCCCAGGGTGCACACGTTCTGATAGTACCTAAATCTGTGCAGTTCGAGAATTAAGTAACATCGAAGGAGGAAAAGAGAGATTGAGCGTTTCCAGTTCAGACTTGATACCTGTCGTTAGACGTGACTTTTATTCGAACATTCGGTAAAGTCTTGGGAAGCTGTATTTGATTCCCCTCCCATGAGATGTGAACATTGCAATAGTTCTTGAGGTAGTAATGTAAGCCCCAAGTGATAGCCACACCAGAAGTACCAAGGATTTCCACTTGACCAAGGGAATTTTTCTTGATCTGATAATGACATGAATAGTGAAATTATGTAACAGATATTAGGAATTTAAAGAAGGCTTGTAACAAGATGATTCCCTTTATCTATGTTAGTCAAGGATAAGCAGCAAGAGTGCAGAAAATTGTAGTTCTATCGAGTTCTATTGAAAAGACATTTTGATTAGATAAATTTGAATCTGGATCTGAGATTTAAACTTGAACGTTTTATAGAGCTCACAGCTAGGAAGCTTAAATGTAAGATGAGCACTCTAGAGTTCTAGAATAAATCAAGATTTGCAGAACTTTGACATTGGTCCTAAGATTAGATATTTCAAGATGTCTAAATTTCTATTACGTGTTAGATAACAGAGAAAGACTGATTACTATTGAGATTTTGGGTTAAGTGCCATGAGGTTTATCTGTTAGGTGATGCAAGGTTGAGCTACTTGCAACTCCCAAACTTTTCCATGCATTGTAAATAATCACTGGGCATCCGATAGCTAGGCGATACTGAGTCGTCAATTATCATTAGTCACCTAGAGTTCCCATTTCACCTATATCTTTCATGAATAAACACTCTTGCAAACTGCACATCGACTGATTGCGAGTCCTCATTATAAATCGTGTGCATAGCAAAGATATATTGTGCTAATTGTCATCAGGACCCAAGACTCCTCAGTCTGTCATCCCAATTTCTCTTTAAAACAGGATGCATTAATATACATTAATTTAAAACTCGCAAAATTTTGTCTCGAGTCTAAGATTAAAATTTTTGGCTCTCTTTTCTACGAGTAAAAATTAATTCCAATATCGTGGAAATACCATCGTGTAATAATCAGTATTATTGCTGTGGAAATATCAGTAATACATCAAGTGCAAGGTTAAAAAATCTATTGAAATACAGAATCCTTTATCAAATTCTACAACGCACACAGGAAGCTAACTTCCGGAATTGAACATTTAATTTCTATCTGTACGTTGTTATAACGAGATATAAAAATTACCAAAAATGTGTCCTTGTCGATAGGGCCAATATCAGGATTAACCATCATCATGAATTGTCTAGCACGATTAGTCCCCAATAATCTTTCAGTAACACCTCTGGCAGCCTCAGCCTGTATTTCTTGCGAAGTCTGAGGCTTGATATGGCCTAAGGTATTCTGAAAAGCTGTTCAAATTTCAAATTTTTTCTTTGTGTTTCTTCAATTTTTTAAACTTTAGCTTGACATGAAATATTTAATAGTTAATAGAATTGAAAATATTAAATGAAGAAGTAAAATAAGAGAATTAAGGTTTTTGAAAAATATTGCTCACCATCTGACTTTGGATTCCGACAGAGAACTGTCACAGTTCCAAAAAGGAAAATAATGGACGCAAGTAACTTGTGAACCAACATGGTGAGTGTGCTACCGCGTCTCGAAGAAGAGAACGACTGGAAGAGATGAGGTTAGTGAATATATTATGTGCCTCCCTACTCTTTTGCCATTTCTCCTTATCTAATGAGTCCTCTGACCATCGTGATTGTCAGTGATATACTATGCAATTACGTCCCCAACGACATCGTCATTCGTCTCTGAGCCTTCATTCGTGCCACTTGAACCAGATTTTAAATAATTTTCAAATATAACTCCTTTCCAGTTAAAGAAATAAACTAGAGTGATAAGAAGATAAAAGGAAAAGATAAAAAGAAAAGGTACTTCTTCAAAGTGTACAATTTTATGGAAATGGTGGAGGTGATGTCATCAGTTTATTCTTCGGTTTTTTTAGTAGTTTTGACTAATTCAATTCGTCATGCTATATCAGTGAACTTACATTGATATTAAATGTTATATATTTTAGTTTCTCTATCGTTTTGCAATTAATTTTCTCCCAAGAAAATAGGTTGATTTAAGGAAAGTAATAATGATGATAGAATGATGTAATATACAGATCTTTTATAACAATTGAAAGTTTATTTAACATAACAGTTTCTAACATATTTATAGGGTGTCTCAAAATACGTGGTACCAGAATTATCAGTTTAAACTAGCCCCACTTATTCCAGGACACTTGTGTGTATAACAATTGAATAGCTTCGAATTAACAATAATCAATCATACAAATCGCGCAATAATATTGTCTCGAAGTCTTTTGAATATTGTTCAATTGACTGCTCGTTTCAACATACTATTTCTCTTCATTGTTCGCTGAACGTGAACGTACATTAACATTGAACTCCATCTACTTTCAAAGAGGAAGGCCATTGGAAGCGAGTTAAGTTTCAAAATTTGTTATATCTATCTAGCTTGCTGCTTCTCGACGATTCAATTCCATAGATGAGCCATTGGACGAATGGACGAAGACTTCGTCACCGATTTTCACCATTCCAGGAACATACAACCCACAATATATCCCCATGGTAGGCGCCTTTCCCTCGAGAGAGATCCGGTCTGGGTCAGTTTGCTCCCTGAAACTGAAAAAGATTAAAAAACTTGTTCCATAACAGCTTGGTTCTTGATTGTCTTCATGTAGTTAGCAAAGATAGTATATATTCGTACGATTTCAAGGTCTTCAGTGGCTCCTCCTTGTCCATCACTCCATTTTCTGGGTTCACACCCACTAGTTTACACCTGTGGTAAATACAAATTGTATAATTGGAGTAACTCTTAATATCAATTTTATTTTTGAATTTTTTTTTTTAAAGAATAAATAAATCAATATTAAACATAAACCATCAGTGAAATATCTAATTTTGAAACGCCTTATATATTTTTATTATTCATTGTCGAATATATTTCGAGTTATATTTCTTCTTTGGTATAAAAACGTGAAATTATTAAATTATTTTTACTATACCGTGAACACGGTTTGACGTTTCTGATGACCACCCGTTCGCCGATTTTTATCCACTCCCACTTGTCTTCCTCGAATGGCTGTTGGGTGGAGACCAAAATATTTGGACGGAATTGTAGTGTAGGCACTGGTCTTTCCAACTTTTCATTCAGCTGCTCAACAGATTTCGTGGTCATTAACATGTAACTGGCCAGGTCACTGAACAAGCCCTAGAAACATTTTCTCGATTAATAAACTACACAAATTTCTCCCAAAATGAAGGAAAATTTAATTAAAAACAATAAAAATATTTACCGTATCTTCGTTTCTGAGCTTCTGGTACACGTCTGTGAATTTCTTCCATGGCGGAACAAAGACGTTTCTTCTATCCATCATCGTGTATCCCAAACGAAGACCAGTAGTTGTTCCAGTCAGAAATCTAAAAAAATTGTAAACTTCACTCATATTTTCGAGATAAATCATACATCGAGGTAAGGCCCATCTATTTTGAAACAACCTGTCCATTCATTTTCTTTTTCTCGTCGTGAAATTTGTGATAAATGTAACATGCAAATAAAATTTTGGAAAAGTAGAAAAAAGCAGAAATAGAAACAATTAAAATATTTATCAAAAAGTCTATCGCATTCATATTCATGTCAATGGTATATTAAGGTTAGGTTAGTAATTACAATTAAAAACATTAATTTATCACAAAAACGGAGAGAAAAAATAAAATTTATGGAATAAATACGAAAAGAAGATGAAAATGCAGACCTTGATAACCATTCAGCTGGTTCTGTGCCACAATCGATACACTTAACCGGTTCCCCCCACCACATGGTGCATTGAACGGCTTCGGAAGCGTTCTTTGAACAATTTGGAACCTCGAAGATCACACTAGGCATCCCTACAGCCTCCAACTTCACCTTGGTCTCATCCACCGTTGACAAACTCACTAGGATCAAGGTTGGATATTGCCTGCCAGTTTGGAAGCGACCAGTTTCCTCGTTGTACACTAGAAACATTCTGATGAACAGCAGGGATTCATCGTTGGTTCCTTTGGGAAAGTGTCGTGTGTCGTTGAGCATGTCATAGTATTATTGTGTTATACTGAAACTAAGTTCTTTTATAGTGAAACTGATTCGAATTACAGCGAAGTTAACTTCCACTGTTGCAAACCTGAGTGATCTTTTAATGGAACCAGATTGTATCACAGTAAAACTAACCTCAATAGTGTCACTGATTTGAACGTGTTTAAACGTGATGAGAGTTTGTAGGTGTTTGATGATAGGGCGATGTATTACATAAACTTTAATAAGCTAGTTAGATAGTGCGTTCTTCCATTAAAAAAATTTTTTAATAACAATTGGAACCAAATTAAATTTCATCCCTGAACTCAAAACTTAGACGTGAAAAATAATTCTAAATAATTTTTTGATACAGAAAAATTTCAACATACATTTATACTACCATAGAATTAATCTGAAATAATAAATTTCGTCATAAATAAATTATGTTGTTATAAGGTACACCCCAAAAAATAGATATAATGGTTAAAAAAATTTATAGTAAATTCGAGTACCTATCTTTAAGGGTGAATTTGCCCTCGTTCTCCAAGCTAATTCCAAACTCGGTGAAGCTGCATTCCCTCAGGTTCTTCCCACGTCCAGACTTCAATGGGTACATGTATAGTTCTTGAATCTGACCCACCTTCACCCATTTCGGATCTGGTAATTCGGAAATCGCGTCGTCGCTCGGACACTCCTCGTTCTCATCCTCGTGACTCACGTCGTCCTCGCTGTTGACATTCTCGTTGATGATTTCTTGTTCCATCGTTTCACTCGTTTCGGACTTTCTTCGTTTCGCGTTAGTTTTCTTCACGGTCCACACTACTGCCACGAGGATGATGGCGAAACTGCATGTTATCACGACGGTCAAGTGCCAGCACTGCAAAGGGTGGTGACCCCAAATTGAGACGAGATATAATTTCCATTAATTAATTTTCTAATAATTTTTTAAACATTTTTATCGAATTGGAAAAATCTTCAATGAAATTGGTAAAATTTCTAAACTTAACGTACCTCTTTATTTTTAAAAATTAAAAAATTTTGAAAATGTTCACGATCCTGTTATTGTATTTTCAATGCTGAACCGTAATTTTCCTCGGAGAGATTAGATAAGCATCGACTGATTAGTAATCTATTTCGAACCTTCTTGTAATCGGTAACCACGTTTTAAATTCACTGTAGCTCACGTATTTCCCTAACCAAATAATTCGCAGTTCTCTCTTAAAACACTCGCCATTCGAGAAACTAAAGCCGCGTCGAACACGTGCCGTCACAATCGAGCATTGTGTCATTGTTTCCTAATCGAATTCTCGACCAAAGAAGCTTACAATGGCTTATTTATTTCGTCGTCGTTTTTGACCATTCGAGGCTCTATAACCTACTATCATTCCCAAAAGTATCACTCATAAATCACTAAACACCATCGCTCGTCGGATTACCCGTAAATCATTAACCAAATTCCTAATCATAATTAAAAACCAAAACACCACTGTTCACATAACCGATGCAGAAAAATCAATTCCACAAATTCAACCAAGCCCATGTTACGATGAACCCAGCATCTTCGAACTTTAACCTAGCCTTGTGTATATCACATAAATGATCCATCTTAATTTCCAAATAAAATTCAATGAAAACCCCCATCACAGTTTCTGTAATAATTTAAAACAAAGAGTATTCTTATTTGAGGTACATACCGGGTGTCCTTGCATGATCCTCGCGGTCCCGGCACTTGTACAAACGACGTTCGTGCCTCAGACGCGTTGTTCTTTCATTCCCGAGTCTCTGTGTCGTGTCGCTGCTGGTATTATGCAATGGCCCGGCTTCTTACGCCCCCTTTCTTTCTACTCCACTCTACTTTATCGGGCGCAGGTCTATGGTGTCGATTATGTGCTGCGCGCGCCAGTCATTATCCCGAAGGTATCATAACCATGCTGGTGATTAATCTACGACGAATAAACGTTTTTACCGCGTCACGACCGATAAAGTTTTCGCTCTCGATCACTCTACCATGTTGGGATCACGGTCGTGTCAAGAAATTTTGAAATTTTGGCTTCGATGATAAAATAGGAAGAGAATCGAATCGGGAATTACGAGAAGATTCGAGACGAACTACGTTTTATGGCGGGTTCTCGTGCGTTGTTTGAGAATGTTTTATTTTAACGCGTGATCATTGGAGTGAGTGGCTGGAAGAGATTGAAGAGGTTAGGTCTGGTCTAGCTGAATGTTTACGAGTGTGAAGAGAGGTTAGTGGTTCGCGGAAATGAATATTTGTGTAGTAAAATTGGTGGGAAGTAATTGGAATGGTAGTAACTGTTTGTGAATTTGATATAAATGTATCTGGTACTTCTTATGCCACCCTGTATAAATGTTATTTGTCAAAGATTGTCAGTGTGGAAGCTTCGATGGGTGCTAACTTATTCAGTTTCTGAACATGTGTCGTAATGAAGGAATTAGTATAGTCATGCTAAGTGGAGGTCGCAGTTACGTGAACGTGGTGTCAGATGAAATATTTATCTCGGTCACCCGGTGGTGCCATTAATATGTGCGCTCATTCATGAAAGGTTCGAAGCTAATTTTCTTAGAAAGGAAGCTGCGTATTGAGAAAAGGTATTCTAACATAATTGATCTGTTTTTTAACGAACGATTTATTACCACTTAAGTACAATGTATATTGTAATTTGGTATATTATGTTATTACATTTACTTATTGGTAAAAGTAATTAAAGTTCCCAGGCTTTAGCATTTGGGTGCTTGTTTTATTTTTACGATTAAATATACATAACTAAATTTGTTGCAACATTAATTTACATTGTAAATGTCATAATCTTGACCCTAGAGTATAAAGATTTATTAACTTTACTATAAAATTAATAAGTATTTATTGTCCATTTAGGCACCGTATCTTTATCCAAACTTAATTAGTAATCTGCAGATAATAAAAATAAAAAAACTAAATAATCTACTATACTTTTTAATACACAGGTATTTCCTTTCAAAGTTCAATCCATTTTAACAAGTAGAAAATATTTGTACAAATCTTAAAGCAAATTTGATATGACATAATATCTTTTCCTACAAAAAAAAGTACTAGCAAAAAAAAGGTCACCAAAAAATTAATGACTATCGTTCTCATTCGTAGAATTGTTATGCAACGAATCAATAATGGGGTGCAGTAATTCCAAACTCGGAATATAGAAATCTGGTCGCGTCTTTTTATCTTTTTCCGCCTCTTGTATTGTATCGATACCCGTATCTACAAACATTTTTTGAAATCCACACAAGGCCCCAAATTCCATATCATGATTTATCCTGAAACGACAAAGAATAAAATATAAACAAAAGTACCATCAGTTTAAAAATTTCGCGTTGACTGAATTTTTAGCAATTAATTAATTTTACATCAATTGTTTTAAAAAATACTCACGTGTCACCGATAAATAAACATCTTTTTGGATCGTTTACATCACACGTTTCCAAAATGTAATCTTTCAAGACATTACTAGGTTTAGCACATTCTATAGGCGTTCTTCCACTGTACTGTGTAATTATATTTATCAGAGGTCCAGGACCTAAATGAAATAATTATTAGAATACAGCACTGAAAATTAAACGAGCCATAGAATTTCATAATTGAATGCTGATATTCAAAACCATAATTGGACACTTAGGTCAGTGCTTAAACTGATACTCAGTGATAATACTTACTATGTATTTTGAGTATAGATATACTGCACAAATACACTAATAAGTGTACTTAAGCAAATACCAAAGTGCTTACATAAATAATTAACAGTTAAGTACTTACATTAATAATTAAACCAGTATTTAAGTGTAATTCCAAAATAAATTTCTCAAATTGATAATTAAATATTGATCAATATGAAAACTTAATCTAAGCATTAAGTATACTTAAAACTTAAAACCTAATAAATACCTAGGACTTTCTTGTCTAAGTCATAAACAATCCATGCATCTTTGGTCCCACAGATATACAGAACATCTTTCCTTTCCAGACAAGAAATTGCGTGTGCTAATTTTACCCAGTCAAAAAATAAGCAGAAATCGACAATCACTGCTTTGACAGATGATCTATCTTGGACAGCTTTCATCGTGACAGCCACATTCCCTTCGACGACTGCAGGCTGAAATACAAAGTTCATATGCATCAATTTTTCAGGTTATGTGACGTTGTACGTGATATCTTCTAACGAATTTAAAAATCGTTTCAGATGGACTATTGGGATAATTTTTCCGCCGTTAGGAAAATGAAACGAGCAGTGTACAAATGTGGAGCTTTTTCTGTATAGATTATGTTATGGCTGCCATACGTTTCCCTTGAGAATATTCTTCTAGAAACTTAAACATAACGAAGAAAGAAAAAAAAACAAGACTAAAGATAAATGATTCGATTAAATATAGCAATTTGAAGAAAGGGGAGCAATTAAACAGCTTTATCGATTAGACTCAAATTAACATAAATGATAATTAACATAGCTGACGAATAACACGAGCAACGACTATTAAGTAAATAAATGTTTTTCTACACTCGTTATCTACATAATACTTTTATCTCGTATAGTACCTTTATCGATACGTCATTTTTATTGACTATTTTACATATCTTGCATAAAGAAAATAATCTTGATAAAATACAAAATTTGTTCTTCTTTTGTGAAAAAAGTGTAAAATTAATTTTTCTCATAATATTAATTTACATAAAAAAAAATTAATTTACTGTCCAATAAAGTTGAGAGATATAATGTAATTAAAATAAAATTGTAAATTTTTTAATTTTTATTAAATTGCTTTCAATTTGAATAATTTAAATTATGGAATATAAGTGTGCCAAAAGATAATTACTGTTATCAGGTACTTTTATCAAGTTATTCGAGGTAAAATGTATCTTGTGGATAAATAAATTTCTGAACATTACTCACGGATGACGGTGTCAGTTTGATACCATCGTCAATTAAGACTTGTCGAAACGTTGACGAAGCTATTACAAACGCCTCGTCCGAAAATTGAATCTTCTTCAGATACCAACTGATCACCTTCGCGCTGTTTATTACTTGCTCCTGCAAAATAATAAATTTCTTATTTCACTAATAATTAGGGAATAACGTAATTACAGTGATGAATGCAATAACCATAAAGATTATAAAATAACATTGGATCAGGTGATATTTAATTTAATAACAAGTTAGGAACTTTTTATTACAAAAACTTCTGCTATTAAAATATTATTTATTTAGTAATAATACAATCTAAAAGAAAATTCAGGGCATTTTTGATAAAATATTGAGTCGTTAAAAAAATATTTATTTAATGATAAGGGTACTGGAATGTAAAAACAATGATACACAAAATGTTGTATTTCGTTTTCCTCTTATGGAACATTTAGATCACCGGAGCAATGAGTTATGTCAGTCATTATAGCCAAATATTAACATTTTAAATCTAATTATCTAATAACTAATTACAGGTATAGATGACATGAAGCAACTATTCGCTAATTTTACATATGGAAAGAAAATTCTATTTCTTTTAAATCTTTTGTATCGCGTATTTATCTCAAAAATCCTGTTTTTAAATTACCATATTATAAAACCGTCCACATCAATCATAGTTCACTGCTCTTGACCTTTGACTATAGCTAACTACTGTACCAACTGAACAAAATTGATCAATTGTTCAAAACACACTACAATTCTTATTCCCAATAACCTAAATATTTTACGTATCACGTTATTCTCTTATCCTAAAATTATAAAGTTAATATATTCTCGTGACACAAATTTGGGAATTTATCCTCAACAACTACTTTACCCATTACCCATTATGCACACTGTTCTACTTTACCCGTAGATTCCGTGACCCCGTGAGCCCCGGTAACTAACCTCCCCAGATTGATCTGCGTCATAATTACCATCGAAAGCGACTTACCGGTTTAACGACTAGTCCATTTAGCCTCAGTTGCTCACAGTATCGATCTATACTTATAGTACTGTTATTCGTCACCAGATATAGCCTCTTTCCCATCTGCTGCAGTTTACTGACCGTCAAAATTGCCCCGGGAATAGGTTTGCCCAGATACCAAATGACACCTGGTGACAGACAAAGTATTTAATTCACCACAAAAAAAAAACCGAATACACCAGACAAATATCGTTAGGAAATCCTCGAGAACAGGCAGAAAATCATGGAAAACTCGCCATCACAATCTGAGAAGACGACGTCGAACGAATTCAAGAAATCCTGCACCTGTTTTACGCTCGCCTGTGACAAGTTCATAGCGGACGACATGTTTTCACGAGAGAAACCGTTCGGAACAAGCTCGGTGTCGCGAGTCAGCATGAGACTGAACTGCTACACCATTTGTCAGATGCTGGCGGGAACCGTCCATCAAGAAAGTCCTGATAACATCCTCGATAACCAATGACACGAAGCTTATTATTTCCTACGCTCTTGCTTCTTCGCTGCCTTTTTCATGTACAAAGCATGACACGTGCAAATTCTAATTGATTACTGTACGCATGACGCAGCGGTTTTAGAAACGGCGCATGCTCCAGAAATGGGGCGTTCTTCGATACAGACAACCCTTTGACAGTTTCTGAGAATTTTTTAGCAGCGTGAAATATCTTGCAGGGAGCCATTAGCGATATTTTCCAACATTCGTTGCAACATTTTTGCAAATTTTTGGGGCTTCGGAAATTTTTGAATTTGGTAGTGACCATTTGGAATTTTAAGGAATTCTTTCGTGACATTTTACAAAATGTTTTTGTTGACGATACGTGGAGATTGTAAAAATTTTTCACGATTCTGTGTAGTTTTAGAGATCTTGAGATTCGTTGTTGAGATTTTTTGGAATTTTCTTTTTTATCGAGTCATATTACAAATCGTGTAATGTAAATCGTATAACGTATAATAAATCATATTTCAAAACGATTTTGCACGAAGGAACGGGTGACGTAACCTGATAGAATTTACAAATTCGAATCTTTTGTAAAGCGAACAATGGAGGAGAGTATAGACGATAACCTGGTCCGATACCAGTCGAACGATACAATTCGTTTGTTCACGCATTCGCGGACCATAGGCAACAAGATGCTCTTAAATATTCCTTGCCAAGATGGCGTTTAATTTTCAACGATCGTAATTCGAAACGCGAAGTCGGATTATTTAAAAAATAAAATAAAAATTGGCAGGATGAGAGCCTGCTCTACTTACGTAAATCTTTACAAAGCGCGAACAACGCTTCGTTGTTATTAACGTCACTGCTT